CTGGAAGAAGATGCTGCCTCTTGGATTCAGCCTGGCCCAGCACTGGCCAATTGCACCAAGCTGAGGCGTGAACTAGCAGAAGGAAGATCTTTCTCTTTGTATAACTTCGATTTTAAAATAAATAAATCATGGGAAAAAAACACAAGAAATTTGCACTCTGCTCTCCCAGCGAATGCTTTTATATTTTTAACTTAAGCTGTGGACACATAACTGCGGGTCTTGGAAGTTAGCGTGAACGTGCAGGTCCAGAAGTTGGAGGTGGCAGCCAGAAGCAGCACGTTCGTGCAGGGTGCTAAGCTCAGCTCTGACTACGGGGAAAAGTAAACAACCTAGAAATCACAAATAACTAGGTAAGCACATGCTTGGGACCCGCTGCATCCCCAGTTTCGGGGTCCCAGCCACTCCAAAGGTTCGCACTCCACCGACCACCTGTCGCAGGCAGAGCCACGCCCCCATGTGGTGGGCGGAGTCCCGAGCCCCGCCTCCCCGCGGCGGGAAGCTACTGCGCAGACGCCGACTCTTTGCCCCGCCCCATGCCCCCCTCTCCCACCGGGTCCTCCAGACCACCGAGCCCTCCTCCTAGAGCAGCCCCTGGGCGCCAACGGCAGGGTGACCGGAAGTGCTGGTGTCCGGGAGTCACAGCTGGTGTCCCTGGCTCGTTCTGTTGGTTGGCCGACACCTTGGGGGTCCGGCAGCGTGGGCCTGGGGGGTCCTCGGAGGTGTGGGGCGGAGGACACAGCTGTGCATGGCCAGTGAGCGCGCTGGGGCCGTGGGCGTGCCATGATTGACCCTGGAGCGTGTGTGCCTGGGTTCGCGTCTCTCAGCTGGCGCTCAGCAGGTGCTCCCTGCCTGTTGGCTATATAGAGAGGCGGGTGTTTCTGCAGGAGAGCAGGTGCACAGGTAGAGAGGTTACGAGAAGCAGAAGCGCAATGCACGTGGACTGCAAGCAGGTGCCTGTCGGCCCTCTTCCTGGTGAAGGAGCGAAAGGCTGGAACCTGGAGCAGGGTCCAGCTGCTGCTGGCCTCAAGGGAGGCACCCCGGAAGCAGCGCACAGGCGCCAGTCCTGGCCTTTAACTCCGGAGCCCGTGGCTTTCCTCTCCTGCCCCATGACTGGAGCTTGCGAAGTTACGTAACCCGTTAGGTTTTTGAATGTTACCATCCACACTTTAAGTCCATGTGTCATTGAATAAAATCATCCCATGGCGTTTGGTGGTGGTAGTGGGTGCGGGTGTGTTTGCCTTCACACAAAATGCTGGAAGCAGTGTGGCTTCTTCTCCCTCCTTTGCCCCCCTTTTCATTGAAAGCTGTGTGCAGAGGAGGCTGTTTGGCTAAACAGCATTGCCTCACTTGAGAGACTTACTGTATGTGGCCGCATTGCTTTCCAAAGAGCTGTTGGTGGACCGTCCTGGGACCCATTTAGGATATACTTGTCCGTTGGGCATTTACCGGTGCTAAGCGTGGAGCTGGCCATGGGGGAGTGGCGAGGGGAGCGGCCTAGGAGCAAAACAGACGCTGACCAGCCCCCTCCACCATGCAAGTGTGTAAGGAAGACAGACGAGGGGTCTGCAGATAGTGCAAGGGAAGTGAACATTATGAAGAAGCAATTCTGGAGATTTCCGTTCATTTGCACCTCTTTTGAGGGGTTCCCATCAGAATTTGTTTCAGGACTATACTATTGTAATAATATGGGGGAAGGGCCCGGCACCATAGCATAGCAGCCAAAGTCCTCACCTTGAATGAGGTGGGATCCCATATGGGCGCCGGTTCTAATCCTGGTGGCTCCACTTCCCATCCAGCTCCCTGCTTGTGGCCTGGGAAAGCAGTGGAGGATGGTCCGGAGTCTTGGGACCTTGTACCCGTGTGGGAGACCCGGAACAGGTTCTTGGCTCCTGGCTTCAGATTGGCTCAGCTCCAGCCATTGCGGCCACTTGGGGAGCGAAACATTGGATGGAAGATCTTCTTCTCTGTCTCTCCTCCTCTCTGTAGTTCTGCCTTTCCAACAAAAATAAAACAAAATAAACCTTTAAAAATATGAGGGAAATAATTTGCAGGGAAGGAATATGGGAAGGGGATATTGTACCATAAAGGTAAAAATAAAATAAAAGAGGGGAAAAAACAATTTATTTCAAAAACGAAGAGAGAGCCTGGCACGGTAGCCTAGTGGCTAAAGTCCTTGTCTTGCATGTACCGGGATCCCATATGGGCACTGGTTCTTACCCCGGATCTCTGCTTCCCTTCCCATCCGGCTCCCTGCCTGTGGCCTGGGAAAGCAGTAGGGGATGGCACAAAGCCTTGGGACTTTGGTGCCCATGTGCAAGATTTGGAAAAAGCGCTTGGCTTCTGGCTTTGGATCAGCTCAATTCTGGCCGTTGTGGCTCTCTTGGTAGTGAACCAGCAGGCTGAAGTTCTTTGTCTCTCCTTCTCTCTGTATATCTGACTTTCCCATAAAAAATAAGTAAATCTTAGAAAGAAATGAAGAGAGAGATCTCCTCATTGGTTCACTCCCCAAATGGTCGTAGGGCTGGACCAGGCTGAAGCCAGGAGGCTAGAACTCCATCCAGGTCTGTGGGAAGGGTGGCAGGGGCCTAAGCATTTAGGGCCTTCTGCTGTTTTCCCGGGCACATTAGCAGGGAGCTGGATGGGAAGCAGGGCTGCTGGGATTGGAACTGGAGCTCTCGGGGTGCTGGCATTTCAGGCAGAGGCCTACCCTGATGTACAACTTGGCTAGCCTCACTGTGTCCCAGTTTAGAAGCATCTGGGCCAGTCTGTGGTGCAGGGGGTAAAGCTGCAGCCTGTAACACTGGCATCCCATAAGGGCACTGGTTGGTGTTGGGCTGCTCCGTGCTCCGTGCAGCTCCCTGCTGACTGCTCAGGTACTAGATGGAACCCCTGGCTCCTGGCTTCAGGCTGACCCAGCTCTGGCCCCTTGGGGACCTCTGGGAAATGAATCAGCAGATGAAAGATCTTATTCTCTATAACTAGGACTTTTAAACCAATAAACACATGTTAAAAAAAGAAAAGAGAAAGCTTTCCTGGATTAATTCCACCAGTTTTTGGCTTTAACGTGAATTGTTCCTGAATTACTTGCTGCTTAAAACACTTGACTCCAATGAGACAGCCACTTCCCCAGGTGGCTAACGAGAGCCCACCTGGTCACCTGTCCTTACCTTTCCTCCTGGTTGTTCTCGACAAATGTCCTCACTTTGCTGAGTGTGTGGCCTCATGGCATGGCCTCATGTCCCTGTCTTATCTGGAAGGGCCACAGGAACCTAGTAGAGGGTGAACCATGGGTTTCAGCCCCTGCTCCTCCACTTCCTCACCCTGGGAATACTCTCTGGTGCACCCACTCCTGGAGGCTTCTCTCCCTGATGCTTGCCAGGTAGCCTGTATCAGGTACACCCCTGCCATGACAGCCCAGAGCCTCTTAGTTGCTCCCGGCTGACACCAGGTGTGTGGGTTATCTTGACCCCAGGAAGTTCCCTTCCAGTTGAGTCGGTTGAGTCATGACCCAGTCTTATCTGGACTTGGCAATAGCGCTGACAAGCAGAGGAGTTCAGCGGGCAGGACTGCCAGCCATCATCTTGGTAGCCACCTGTGCTCTAACCGCCAACACATAAATCAGGGGTCACGGAACTTGGGGGGTAGGGCTAGGTGTGGGGGACGGAGCTCAGCACAACCCCGCCTATGCGCCTTCCCTCCCAGGACCCCCCTCCCCTTAAAGCCTGCAGTGGATTGAGATGTATGGAGCTTTTATCTCCAGGGATCTATGGTTCCCATGGTCTCCAGCTCGTCCCCTTGCCCTGAAGGACAGCGCATGGGGCTGGATGGTCCAAGCTGCTGCCCCTGACATGGCCTTCTTGGTAAGCAGACCCCATCCGGGAAGCAATCCCAGAGTTCACCGAGTGGCCCCTTGCTGAGATCAAAGTTGCCTCCTTGCACTCCGGAAGCTCCAGGGACTGGGACAGAAGGATCAAACGCACACTTCTTATTGGTCATGGTGTTTTTATTTGCTTCCATTTTTTAAAATTTTCTCCCCATCCTCTTGAAAATGAAAGCCCATAAAAACTTTATTAGAATTAAATGCTAACCCCCCTAGCCTGGGGTTTAATAGATAAATAAACCTTTTAAGATTTCGTAAATCTTAAAAGGTTTATTTATTTGAATGGCAGGGCATCAGAGAGAGGAGAATCACAAAGAGATATAGCTCCTTTCTGCTGGTTCCTTCCCCAGATGGCTGTAACATCCAGGGCTGGGACAGGCCGACGCCAGGAGCTCTGTCTGTGTCCCCCACATGGTGGCCGGGGCCCCAGTGCTGGGCCTTCTGCTCCTGCCCCCCACCCAGGTGCAGGAGCAGGGAGCCGGACTGGAAGTGGAGTGGCTGGGACGACAACCAGCTGGAGGCAGTTAAGGATCTGCTTAAGGATTTGCTGCACCTCAGTGCCTTCCCGTCATTTAAATCCTGACGCCCAGGCAAAGTGGAGAGCTCATCATAGCTCATAACCTGTATTTTTCTCCTTGAGTCTCTGGTTTGAGGTCCCCAGGGAGCCAGTTCCCCAACTGAGACTTCTCCCCAAGTTTACTGAACTTATTGTATTAAGGTATTATCAGGTACCCGTGCGGAGCAGGGAAGAGTAACTTTAGGGCCATTATGAGAGTTTTTTTTTTTTTTAAGGCCTACGAATTCTCGTGGCCTCCAGGACCCTTCATGGCCAACACACCTTAGAGGGGTCCCCTAAGAGGACGGAGTCCCTTTTCCACTTGAGGACCCAGGAGGGAGGCGGGGGAGCTAATCACAAGGACGTTGTCTTACATGGTGCCTGGCTAATCACAAGGACGTTGTTCCCAGGAAAGAGGCCGGGGCATCCTGCAACACGAACCTGGCGTGCGTGTGTGGGGTGCGGGTGATGGGAAGCGCGCATGCGCGCCGCGAGGTCGCGAGTGATCGGGCCGAGCCTGTGTGCGCGCCCCCTGCCGGCAGGCTGCGGGGAGCGGAGGGGGCGGGGCATCGCCGCTCCCGGTCCAGCGGCCCGCATCCGGCGGACGCCGGAAACGCTTCTCCGCCCCTGCCACTGGGCCATGGAGACTGTAGCCCAGTAGAGTGCCCTGAGAGGAAAAGCCGGGGGGCGGCGGCGGCCATGGAGGCCGTGCTGAACGACCTGGTGTCTGTAGAGGATCTGATGGTGAGCCCTGGTCCCGCGGGTGGGGAAGGGGGAAGAGTTGGGAGGACGGACCGCGAGAGGAGAGTCGGCCCCGGAGACGAACCCTCCTGCCAGTTTCAAACTTGGCGAGGGGAAGCCGAACTACGGCTCCCGGCAGCCCCCGCGCCACCCGGCTCCTGTCCCAAGCGCACTCTTTGCCGCGGAGGCTGCTGGGGCTCGTAGTTTCTCCCGCCACCACACCTCCAACTGGAGCAGGCCCACTGGGTCTAAAACCCCAGAAAGGGGTTTTAGGTTCTGTCAGGTTCTGGGTCCTGTGTATGGTGTGGGAGATCAGTCGTGGGGGGCACACAGCGACCCGGCGTCGCGCTGCACACACTGCTGACACCGGCGCGATGCCCAGGGCATTGCCCTCCAGGTCTCAAGCCTTCGTAGCCCCGGGAGGTAGGCAGGCACTGGCTCCCCAACCCTCCGCCCAGCCACCCTGTTCTTTTGCCAGACAAGCCAAGGGTGCAGGCGCGGCTGGGTGGGGCAGGCCGGGCCCGCGTGTGGGCTGTTTTGAGCAGTTGTGACAGCGTGTTTACTGTGCTGCTCGCGGTCAGCTGCTCCGGGAGCGGTGCCTGGAGCTGCCACCAGGCGGCATCTCCACCCGGGACCGCCAGGGGCACCCCGGGATGGAGCTGGGTGTGTGTGTGTGTACCCCGGGATGGAGCTGGGTGTGTGGGTGTCACAGTGTGTGACAGTGTGTGGGTCAGGGTCCGTGTGTGTGTGTGTGTGTGTGTGTGTACCCCGGGATGGGGCTGGGACTGGGTGTGTGTGTGTGTGTACCCCGGGATGGAGCTGGGTGTGTGTGTGTGTGACTGTGTGGGTCAGGGTGTGTGTATGTGTGTGTGTGTGAGGGTGTGGGTGTCAGGGTGTGTGTATGGGGGGGGGGTACCTCGATCTCAGCGAGCATGGTAGGGCAGAAGCGCAGGGAAGGGTGACTGGGGGCCAGACAGGAAATGAGTGACACCTGTCATTTCCCCATGATGGTCAGTCAGCCTCTTTCCTCTTTTGCGGGCAGAAATTTGAGAGGAAGTTTAAGTCGGAGCAGGCGGCCGGCTCGGTGTCCAAGAGCACGCAGTTTGAGTACGCCTGGTGCCTAGTGCGGAGCAAGTACAATGATGACATCCACAAAGGCATCACCCTGCTGGAGGGTGAGCCGGCCGCCCCTCCCCAGTCGCCGCTGGCCATGGGTGGACCTCACCGCCCAGCACAACCCCGGGTCAGCCCAGTAGGCTCTGCTGTGCCTCCACATTGGATGCCTTGGAGGGAGAGTTGGGAGGAGATGGGAGCAAGTGCAGATGGTGCTAATGGGATGGGAACCCTTGTCCCTCTCCTGGTATGTGCTGGATCCTCCATCAGTGGCCACAGAGCTTGGCCAGTGCCTCTGCGCCCCTTTTCTCTAGGTTAAGTGACCATTTCCGAACCTTTGCTATTGGCAAAGGCTGTCTGTTGTTTGCCCATTGTAAAACTGTAAAAATAAGGGGCTTTCTTAACACGGAAGGATCCATTCTGCCTGTGCAGCGTGGCCAGTTTTAGCTTACAGCTGGGCACAGCTGCAGAACTGCCTGTCCCCGCTCCTCTAACTCCCCAGGCACTGCCACTGTAGCTGAGGGGACCTAGGACAGCTGCAAACTGACCTAGTGACCCGTGTGGTGTGGGCAGAGCCTGCAGGAGGCCTCTGAAGCCAAAACAGGTGGAGTGGTTCAGGGGAGCCCAGTTCTGAGCAGGTGCTTGAGGAAGGGAGGTGGGGAGTACAGCCCTCATTATGAGTAGCAGCCCCTCAGCCCCCGCCTCCCGCTCCGTGTCCTGTCTGCTCCAGGACAGGGATGCTGATGCGGTGGGGGTGGGAGGCACAGGGCTGCTGCTGTGGGCCCCAGAGCCGTGACTTGGACAGCTGGGAGTTTGAAACTGACACTGGGGGCCCAGAGCTGTGAGCCTCCCAGGGTCCCTTGGCATTGGGGGTGGGACTGGGTGGGACAAAGGGGAACAGTGTGTGACTCCTCCCCGCCATGCCCCATGTCCCCTCAGAGCTGCTGCTGAAAGGCAGCAAGGAGGAACAGCGGGATTATGTCTTCTACCTGGCCGTGGGCAACTACCGGCTCAAGGTAGGCGCAGGGCGCCCTGGGTGTGTGTGTGTACCTGTGGCCACTTGGGGTGTCCTAGCCAGGTGCATGTGCCTGTGCACGTGTGGGCTCAGGGTGCCCTTGCTGTTCACATGCGCGTGCGTGGCAGTGAAGGGTGTGGGGGTTATGTTGGATCTGGGAGGCAAGAGGGAGAGGGAGGGTGTGGCTGGAGCTCAGCCTGCGTGGAGGTGTTGTGGGGGGGGGGGAAGTTATTATCTCCCAGGCTTATCATCCCCAGCAGTCAGGCGGAGCTGTTGGTGGACTCTACTCCCCCGGGTGAGGCCACAGGGCAGCAAGGGCTGTCTGGCTGGGCGGTGGCGTGAGCCCCTGGGGGTGAAGGCTGGAGGGGTGCAACCTGAGTTGCTTGTGTGCTGCTCTCCACCCCCTACCACTGTGAGTGCAGGAATATGAGAAGGCCCTGAAGTACGTGCGGGGGCTGCTGCAGACTGAGCCCCAGAACAACCAGGCCAAGGAACTGGAGCGGCTCATCGACAAGGCCATGAAGAAGGGTGAGTGCCATGCTCTGTCATACCCCCCTCCCCCCAGTAGATGATGCCACTCCCAGCTGCCCCCCTCCAAGCCCCGCCTCTCGGAAGCTGTCTTGGCAGCCCTCCTGCTGCAGGGTGGGGTGTGTGTATATCCGGGTGGCACTTGACATCAACTCCACCCCCCCATTCCCCCGTAGATGGACTGGTGGGCATGGCTATCGTTGGGGGCATGGCCCTGGGTGTGGCAGGACTGGCTGGACTCATCGGGCTTGCCGTGTCCAAGGCCAAATCCTGAAGACGACAGCATCACCCCCTCCGCCCCGGGGGACTCACCAGAGCCCTGGACGACATGGACAACGTGCAGAGAGAGGGCCTCAGCCCTGCTGCCCCTAGCCTGTCCTCCCATTCCCCACACACCCTGTCACCCTTCCCTGTGGCCTTCAGCCTCTGCCACCCCTGGGGAGACCTGTCCTTTAGCCCTGAATCATGTGCTCTGGGATGAGTGTAAATAAATGCGCGCCATGGCTTGGGAGCCTCTGTGTGTCGTGGGCTGAGGGCGGGGTGGCGTCACAGGGTACTGAGGGTGAGGGTGGTTTCTCCAGCAGTCCGCAGGCCACTGTGGGGTTCTCTCCTGCTCCACCCCCATCCTGCAATGGCAGACAAACCTGGGGGACAGCAGCAGAGAGGAGGGCACGATGGTACCTCTCCTGACCCACTCCACCTCCTCCTGCCACCTGGAGTTTTCTACTCCACCCCCAATCCGCGCCACTTCCTCCCTTTGTCTTCCCACACCCTCCCCTTCCTCCTCTCCCATCCATATCCCCAGGGTAATGGAGGAGGGAGCATTGGCATCAGGCCTGGGGCAGACAAGGGTCTCAGGGTGGGTGGGAAATGCAGGGCCAAGGCCAAGCCCACGCCCTCTCCTCTCGTGCCAAGCTCCGCTCGCTGCATACCTCTCGTTCCACAGCCCAGCACGGCTGGGAGCGGGGGGGGGGGGAGGTACCCTAGGGGAGCCTGGCACGGGAGGGGCAGAGTGCCATTCTGTCCAGGGGGCACTCCAGTGCCACTCATCAGAATTGGGTCTTGGGACAGGCAATGAGAGCGCGGCAGGTGCTTGAGGTGGCTCGCCCCTGGGGGTGCTAAATCCGTCATCAGCCAGCAGAGTCCTTGGCAGTTCGCCGTAAGTGAAGCGGTTAGAGATTAGCCACAGTAGTGGCTTCCCGCTTGGCAGCAGGATCAAACTCAATGCCGGGGGTCAATGGTCAGACCAGTATGGCTGGGTGGGAGGAAGGGGGATTCAAGTTCAAGATGTTTGGAGAGGGACTCTTTGGTGGCCTCACCCCAGCCCTGGGGCCTCAGCTAGAATGGGGATGGTCCCTGAAGGCAAGCGCTTGGTCAGTGTTGGGGGGCACACACTTCACCCCCAGTTGCTTTGCCAGAAGACATGGTCAGCCTGCCATCCTCACTGATGGGACGTCAGAACCGTTGGCCTCTCCCCAACTGCCACCTCTCCCCGTGGCTTTCTTGGACGCTGCAGTGACCTGACCCCGGGTCACTCTCACCCATCCCATTCCCAGTCGCGGAAACCCCTGGCAGGTGTCTTGGGGTCTGTTTTTTTTCCTCTTGCTCTCGGGGGCCCCTGACGAAGGCTGAGTCAGACCAGCCATTTCCCCTTGGCACCCAGAGCCGCCCATGGGGGCCCCTCCTCGGCCGTATCCCATATCCGTTCGTCATTCCTGGGTAAGTCCGTCCCCCCTACCGTGGGGCGGGGAGCCCTGGGCAGCAGTGCTCTGGGGGAGGGGGTGGACTTTTGGCCTGTTTGGCTTATTCCCTCCATCTCCGCAGCCACAGCTGCCGTGGGCTGGCCTCATTCTTCTGAGCCGCCAGGAAAAGGGGGCCCCCGAGCGAGCCAACAAGTGAGGGCAGCTGTCACCTGGGCCACCGCGCGACCTGTGGCCTGAGGAGGAGGAGGAGGAGGAAGGCAGGGGCTGCTGCAGGATTCCGGCCCTTCCCAGCTGCCCTGAGCCCCCTTTCCGGTTCCCCACGGGCTCCTAGCCCCGTCGGGGCCCTGTGTCTGCCATGTCCGTGGCCGTGGAGACATTTGGCTTCTTCATGACGGCCCTGGGGCTGTTGATGCTGGGGGTGACCCTGACCAACAGCTACTGGCGCGTGTCCACCGTGCACGGCAACGTCATCACCACCAACACCATCTACGAGAACCTGTGGTACAGCTGCGCCACCGACTCGCTGGGGGTCTCCAACTGCTGGGAGTTCCCATCCATGCTGGCCCTATCTGGTACGGGCTGGGCTGGGTGGGGGGCGTGGTGTGGTGGGCACCGAAGGCCCATAGGGATTCAGAGGGGTCTGGGGCCCAGGCTGCGGGGGACATGACTCCTGGCCTTGGTTGCTCTGCTTAGTCAGGCGACAGGCCCAGCTCCTAAGAGGTGGTCGTGAGACATGGATGGGGCGGATGTGCTTTTGTTGGCATTGGCGGCAGTGTATCCACCTGCTCCATGCCAATGGTGAGTGCCGCGGAGTGGGGTTGCCCGGCTCGGCACAGAGTGGAGGTGGCCCTGTCGTCCTGTGTGTAGGGGCCTCGGCAGGTGTATTTTGTGAGCTTGGTGGCAGCCTGAGGCTCTTCGGGGCCCAGACAGGAGCTGTTCCTCTCCTTGGTTCCACCTGGGGGCCACAGCAGTCTCCCGTTTGTCACTCACCATGGGGACCAGGCAGCCCCGTGCTTGGGGGCTCCCCTTCTGTGGTCTCCCAGACTCACTGGGTTTGGGGAGCCATCCTCTCTCCCACGCACTGTGTCATAGGTGCTGGGGTAGGGGAGGAGCTGAGGCCCACCTTAGCCACGAAGCTGTTCTGAACAGTGAGGGCTGCAAGGGAAACTCTTGCAGGAAGCTTCTATTAATTTCTCCAAGCCTTATGGTACAAGTCAGGCGAGTGCGCCCAAGACCTTTTACAGACAGTGCAGTATGGGCCGGAAACCCCTGAGTGCCGAGTGACCAGAGGAACTGGGGAGGCAGCCCCCACCTGGCATGTCTGTGTGAGTGGGTGTGAGAGGGGTGCAGAAGCCGGCTGGCAGCAGGCCAGAGCCCGGGACTTCCCCGGCATGGTGTCCTCGGTGGCTCTGATGCTGGGCGGGGCTGGGGGTGTTAACTTGCTTCTGAGGAGCCCAGGAGCTGCTTGCACACACGGGAGGCCTGGGACCATTGTGGTTCGGGCTCCAAGCACTCACCCATGCCTGTCCCTTGGCCACCAGCACCATCTGCTGAGGCCCCGGGGGTGGGGTGTGGCAAACCGTGCTCCTGGAGAACTTTGTCCCTCCTCCCTACTCCCCTTCCAGAGAGGAAGACTGCCCCGCCCAGAAAGGGGGTGCAAGGTCCTGGAGAGTTCTTAGAATTCAGAGATGGACAAGGGAGGAGAGGGTCGGTCCTTCATCCCTCAGCTCTGAGCTCTGCAATGAGCTAGGTGCCCTTGGCAGTCCTGGGCCCTTGGCCGCAGCCCACTGCTGCCCCCTACCGGTCACTCTAGGAAGAAGCAATACAAGATGTTGACCCTGGGCCCTGCAGACGTGGGCAAGGGGCTGCGTATCCTCAAGTGGACGCTGCTCCCGGTGTGCAGCTGACAGAGGTTAGAGGTGCCGCCAGACGGCCTGCCAAAGCATCATCGGAAGAAGACCCTGTGGCCGAGGGGTGCGCAGGCCGGGCCCCCTCCCACAAGGAGCAGGGTCGTGAGGGGCTGGCCGGATTGTAGAGGGGAGGCACTGACGGCTGTGTCCCCCTTCCCCAGGGTATGTCCAGGCCTGCCGCGCACTCATGATCACCGCCATCGTCCTGGGCTTCCTGGGTCTCTCCCTAGGCATGCTGGGGTTGCGCTGCACCACAATCGGCGGCACGGACGGCTCTAAGAAAGCCAAGCTGGCGGCCATCGCTGGTGCCCTGCACATACTGGCCGGTAATGGGGGCTGGACCTGAGGTGGGTGGGGGAAGGAGGCCTTGGCTGCAGACCCTATTCTTGGAATTTGGGCGACAGGCAAGCCCACCAGCTCTGTTTCCTGAGCTGCCGCCACGGGTCAGGCTCCAGCCAGGCGTGGGAGGGACGTCGAGGGGGCTGGCCAAGCTGGGCGTCTGCGTGCGCAGGTGCGGGCTGGTACAGGGTGCCTGGGGTGCTGGCTTGTTTCCCAAGCTGAAAACAGCCTGGGAACGGGCAGTGGGCACAAGGTCTGTGTAGGATTTGGATGTGTCTAGGCGAGGCAAGCATGACCCCAGACCCCAGCAGTGTCAGCAGGTGGGAGGTTGTCCCTGCCAGTGCCAGAGGGAGTTTCCTGCAGGGAGCTGGTGCTTTTGGACTTGATGGATGCCCAAGTCCTACTCTGGGCAGCTCCTTCTGCAAGTTCCCGCACTGCTCTTCCACCTGCAGGGCTCTGTGGCATGGTGGCCATCTCCTGGTATGCAGCCAACATCACCCAGGACTTCTTCAACCCCTTGTATGCGGGAACCAAGTGAGTGTTGGGGAGGCCTTGCCTCGGGGGAGGGGCACACAGATTGTCCCCGGAAAGGTGCTCAGCTACCCCACCCCCACCCCAGGTATGAGCTGGGCCCTGCCCTCTACCTGGGCTGGAGCGCCTCCTTGCTGGCTATCCTGGGCGGCATCTGTCTGTGCTCCCATTGCTGCTGCTTCTCCAGGGAGGATCCGGACACCAGGTGAGGGGGGTGTGGGCTGGGGGGCAGCTGGGAGCACGGGCCTCCTTCTCTTCTGACCCGTGGGCTCCTCTCCCCACAGGGCCCGGCTTCCCTACAAGGCGTCCACTGCTGTGCTGCCTCAGGTTGCCTCAGATGAAGGCGACAGCAGCTTTGGCAAATACGGCAAAAACGCCTATGTGTAGAAGCTCCGGCCTGCACACCCCATTTTCCTTTCAACTCCCCCACCCAGTGAAGAGGGGTCCCCGGCCCCCAGGGCTCCAGGCTGGGGTTCATCCTCCAACTTGGGCAGGTCCCAGCCAAGCCTGGAAGCCACGCCCCCAGCCGGAGGCACTCCCCAGTCCCAGCCCTGGCCAAGCCACTCCCACCCACACCCTCAGCGAGTCCCGCCCACACCTAAACCACTCCCACCAAGCCACGCCCCTCCGAGACCCTACCCCAAACCAGAGCCACTCCCAAGTCCCCGCCCCCAGCCAGAGCCCCGCCCCGGCCACGCCTCCTCTCCCGGCCGAAGCGGCTCCTAGGAGGGCTGTGTCCCCAGTTGTTGGTGTTATGTGTAAATTCGCGCATTAATAAATGTAAACTGTGATTGTAGCAGGAACTCAAGGGGTCATGAAGAGGCCAGCCAAGCGCGCAGGAGGCCTCCAGGGCTCTGTTGTGGTCTTGGACACCGTACTGTCCTTCTACCCCACTTGGGGGAGGTGGCATCTCTGAGTCTCCAGGAGCTGAGTTCCAGGAAGGGGGAATCTTGGTCAACAGGGACCTAAGTCACCACCCCGATCATGGCTGTTCTAGGATCTTAACTGATCTGGAGCAGCGTCTGCCCTGGCCTGAGCCTGGCTATTTGGAATTACTAAGCCCTCTGGAGACTGGGTGGCAAGTAACCTGGCCTGGCTTGGTCCATGGGGAAGGCTTGGTGGCACACAGCGGAAGCCCCAGGGATGTGTCCATCGGCGTGTGCACCGCCCAGTGATGCCCAGCCTGGACAGGGTGGGCGTGGCACAGGCCTATGGGAGCTCAGCTGACCTGCACTGGGAAAACAAGCTCCCATCACAGCACTATTGCAAGCAGTTCCTGGGGTGGTTTGGGCCTGTCCCCATTCACCAGACTATGGCCTCCTGACCCTGTCTGTCCTGCTGTCTGCCACCCCCTCCGGTTGTTCCTCCCTCTGTACTATGAGCAGCAGTCCCTGCGGTGGCCTGGGACTGACTGCCACCCTGTTCCCATGTCATCAGGCTGTGGCCTCCTGATCCTGCTGTCTGCTGTGGCATACAGAAGACCGCCACTCCCTCTTGTTGCTCCTCACTGGCCTGAGCCCCTCACCCCTGGATGGCTCTCCCTGCCCAGGAATAAGAGCCCAGTCAGTCCTGACTTTGACTTTGACACCTGCCTGCCTGTTTCCCTGCACCAGCTTTGTTCTGCACAAGCTGAACCCACCCACAGAGTAGGGCCTGGGGGGCCTCTCAGACACATACCCCCCAGCAGGCCACATTCAGGGCCACAGCTGCTGCCTAAACTCCCTGCACAGGCCTCCCACGTGCCAGCCCCTCCCTACCCTGCCTTTACTACCATTTGCAGGTGTCCCATGGGCTGAGCCCAGAAGGAGGAGCCTCAGGGGGACAGTCGACTGCTAAGCAGGGATGGCTGTGCCGCCTGCTTGGTCATACGCTGGAGTGGACAAGACAATCCGACAAAAATCCCTGATGGTGGCAGCTGCCTCTGGCACCTACACTGTCCCCTTGGTTCATGCCTAAGGCCCTCAGCTCCCTTCCCACTCTCCTGGTCCCTCTATTGCCAGACACTGGGGTGTGTTCAGCACACAGAAATGACAGCAGTCAGCCACACCCTGCTCTAGGGTTGGGGCACCAGCAGCTTCCCACAGGGGGTAGCAAGTCCCAGTCCTGCAATGCCCGGGATGGTCTGAAGGGTGACCTGAGTTATCTGAGCCACACAGCTGGTGAGTACTGGGAGACTCAGTCTTCCAGAATTGGACCCTGTTCTCTTCCTGGACTCCTAGCAGGAGTAAGTGCTGGTCCTTCACATGTGATCCTGGGTTCAGCTTCTAGAAGCTTTGGCACAATGTAGATTCCCTACAGCATAGGTGCCTCGGATGTGGGCAACAAGGCTCCCTGGCACAAAGGGGGTCAGCAGAAACTGCCCAAAGGGGCTGGAGCTGTGTGGTATAATAGACTAATCCTCCACCTGAAGTGCTGGCATTTCATATGAGTGCTGGTTCAAATCCCAGCTGTTCCACTTCCCATCCAACTCCCTGCTGATCGCCTGGGGAAGCAGTGAAGGATGGCCCAGGTCCTCAGGTTCCTGTACCCTTGTGGGAAACCTGGAAAAAGCTCCTGGCTCTCAGCTCCCAGCTTGTGCCATAGTGGCTATTCAGGGGAATGAACTTGCAGATAGGAGATCTCTCTCTCCTCTTTGTAAATTCTTTGAAATGAAAACAAATCAATCTTAAATAAGCCAAAGTTCTCCTGGGGGAGTTCCTATTTTGAAGTCTGCCACCTCCCATGCTGGGAGCAGCCAGTGGGCTTTAGGGCATCCTAGAAGGTGGGCTGTGAGGCCCAGCCAAGGTGAGGTGACTGGTAGAAGGACAGGCTGAGGACCTGAAGTCCCCTCTCCTGGGAGACCAGTGACCTGTGCAGACAGCAAAGTGGAATCTGGATGTCCATCATCATGGCAGTCAACACAGCCAGGCTCGGCCCGGAAGGGCCACAATCCTGTTACACCAGCATGAGGCACAGGTCTGCCAGTCGTCACCACGGAGGCTTGGGTGGGGTGACCTGAGAGTGGGGTTCACCCAGGCCTGCCTGGGCTGGACTCCCCTCAGGCTGGCAGCTGCAGGGCTGGTGCGGGGAGGTTTCCTCTGTGGTGGCTCAGGGGTCCGGACACAGGGCATGGGGAGCTGCAGGGCCTTTCTGTGGCCTTGGCCCATCTTCGGTCGCTGTGACTCAACACAACCTGGGCAGCTTATGAAAGGGTCAAATGCAATGGGATGCTGGACTTCTACCACTGTCTGTACCTACAGTGTTAGGATACACCTAAATAGCAGAATGACAGACTTGGGATTGTTGCTGAATGACCCATTGTAATCAAAGGGAAATCTCTGTGTGAGGGGGAGATTGGGGAGGGTAGAAGGGAAAATCCCTGAGCCTATGGAACGGTATCATGAAAAAGAAAACAAGAAAGAAGTATCAAGGAGCCATGGCCAGCAGGGAAGGCCTGGAAGAGCCATGTTGGTGCAGGTGTCATGCAGCTAGGCGGAGTGAGCTGCTGGGTCAGGTGTCCCTTTAGATTTGAAAGGCAGATGAGAAACATCTTCTAGCTTGCTCTGACAGCTAAAGCTGGGCCAGCCTGAAGGCAGGAACTCCATCTGGGTCTCCTCAGGTGTGTTAGCAGGGAGCTGGCTCAGAAGTGGAGAGCTGGGACTTGACCACAGATGTTGATATTGTAGGCAGTGCAGCAACATGGGCCCTTTTGGGTATCTGTTCTTACCAAGCCACTAAGGCCAACTAGGACCCCTACCTTCCTAACTTCATCTCTCCAAACACCAGGAATATCGAAGTCTGGAGACTTGGGCTATGACACACAAACCCCTCGTCCTATATGTCCCACATTCTCACTTGTCATTTGCCATGGCTGACGCTGTCATCCCTCCCCTCCCCTGGGACCTCAGCAGGTGCCTCTGGCTGCTTGGGCTGCATCTAGTCTCAAGGCCACTTGATCAACAGATGCTCATGGGGCCAGCGCTACGGCACAACGGGCCAAGCCTCCGCAGTAGGCTTGTACATGGGCACTGGTTCGTTTCCCGGCTGCTCTACTTCCCATCCAACTCTCTGCTGATACATTTGGGAAAGCAGTTAAGAGAATGGCCCAAATCTTTGGGCCCCTTCACCCATGCGGGAGATGAAGAAGAGGCTCCTGGCTCTGTCTGTGCCCAGGACGTTGCACTTCAACACAGCAAATGCCCAGGGGTGGGGCTGACACAGTGACAGCCCTCCCCCGCCTCCGCTCCTACCTCCTGGGCACACAGTGTCAGGGTTGCCTGAGGCCAGCGGCCCCCTCACATGGGCAGCACCACTCCCCACTGGTGGAGTACCAGGAGACAGGGGCTAGCTCCGCCAGCAAGCAGCTCCCTGTACCCGGCCCCCCAGTCCTGGACCCCGACTTGACTTCAAAAACATTCAGGACAACTGGAGAGGTGAAGATGCAGAACCAAACCAAATCAGTAACCCAGGGTGAGTATGCACTCTTGAGTCGCAGAGGGGATGGAGGGAGGGTGCAGGTGGGAGGAGAGGAGGGGCCATTGCCTCCATCCCACAACAGCACAAGTATAGCTTTGTGTGCCTGTTTATTCAAGTAGCCTTCTGCAGGCTCCGCCCCCGCCCCATCCTCCTTTTCCCCTTTGCAGTCCTGGGCCGGGCCGGCCCCTCTGGATGGGTGGAGACAGTGTTTTGGCTGAGTCCGTGGTGTGGCTCCTCCCTTGGTCCCGCAGCAGTACCTTCTTGGGTGATGTGGCCAGGAGGCCTTCCTGTCCGGGTAGCCCTGCTCACACAGTCCACTTCAGACACCTGTGCGCAGAGAGGGAGTCAGGAGGAGAGTGTGGCCTGGGGCAGGGGTGCCCGCTGTGGGGCAAGGCTGGTCCTTGGCTCACCTCGTTTCCTGGTGCGTGCCTAAACAGCGCACAGTGCAGTATCGGGCTCCACAGCTGACGCAGGTGTAGGGGGAGGGGAAGCCGCACACAGCACAGAAGGGGCGCTGGGGCCGGGAGGGGGGCCCTGCACAGGCAGTAAGGTAGTTGGGGCCCTCTGCCATACTCAGGTTCTGCAGAGACGAGAGGGGCCAGAATTGCAGGGTGGAGGGGTCTCCTCTACTGTGCAGGCACCACACACCCATTGTACTTGTGGGTTCTGCCCTCACCTCCTCCCTCCTCACCTGCTCCTCCAGCAGGGCCTGGAAGTTTTTCCGGAAGCGAAGTTTAAAATGATCACCTCTAGTCTTCTTCTTTTTCTTTCCTGGGTGGGAGGGGGAGGGCAAGTAGATGGTTTGTACCAGCTGAGAAAGGCATTCCCCTCACCCCCGGAGCTCCCCAAGCCCGCGAGTCCAGTGGCCGCTCCTGCCCTTCCTGGGCCAGGCCCATGGAGCACAGAGGCCCTTCTTCACACATGGGCTATTGTAATCTCTCTTCCCTGCCACCTGTCCCCTCCTTGGTTCCCAGCCATGACTGCTGCCTGACCACTTAGTGGTAGGGGACCCTCACTGGGTCCTCTGGTTCTCCAATCCTAGCCATAGTCTCCCTATCCTCGCCCCCCAAGCCCAGGACCTGCTCTGGCATTCTCCCTCGCCTTCCCCACCAGCCTGACCCCTCCATTTCTCCTCGCCTCACCAGTGTCTGCATCGTCATCAAACTGTGGGAGCCTCTTGCCCAGCTGCGGGAGCCCCGCGTGGGGGTCGTCCTGGAAGTTGTCATTCTCCAAGGCCTCAAGCTGCCTGTTGATGCGACGCTGCCGGGCTGCCCGGTCCAGCACCCGCCGCTGGCTGGGGTCCTGGGAGCGAACTGAGGCATGTGAAGAGTTACAGGGGGTGCCAAGGAAGGAGAGGATGGGGTGGCCTGAATTGGGGAGGGGGACCCCACACTTTACACAGTCCCCAAGCTTGTGACCCTTGGGTTTCCTCCCAGGAGACCAGCGCCTTCCCCACCTGCTCAATGCCCCCTGGCTCACTTCCTGTCTGCACTGGGCTCAGTCTCTCGTGCTCATTTCCCAGCCCCCATGGCCCTGGCCAGGCACCCCTTTCCTGAAGGGCTCTCAATAATGATCAAGTCACATGCGCAGGGCAGGTGTCTGTTGTAGGTTCCCTTCCTTGGCTGCAGAGCCTGGGTTTGCATCCTGGCTTCTGATTCCAGTAGCTTGCTTGCACCCCAAGAGGAGGCAGGTCATGGCAGGCGTGTGGGTCCTTGTCACTCGCATAGGACACCTGGAAGGTCCCTGGCCCAGCCCTGGCTGTTGCGAGGAATGGATAGTGGGTGGAAGAGCTCTCTGCCTTTCCCATGGATAAAAAGCACTACAGAAGCAGCAACCACCAGACCACACACAGCTGTGTGGAGGAGGCTTGTAGGTGCCCTGGAACCGTGTGCACTTGGCCTTCCCGACCAGTGAAAACACACCACAGATGGACACGCTCCCAAGCCACGCCCCCCAACATAATTGTGGGACACCCATCCAAGCTGCCTTCCCTTGCTCAGCCTTACTGTTGAACCTCACAGTCTCCAGCTCCAGGATACCCCACTCTCTGTCCCTCCTCTCCACTTGGACTTGGCCAGGCCCATGGAGCACAGAGGCCCTTTTTTCCCTACCACCTGTCCCCTCCTTAGTCCCCAGCCATGACTGCTGCCTGACCTCTTAGTGGTAGGGGACCCAGGACACTGACCACCTCCAGGGCCAAAGCCACCACGCAGTGCTGGACTCCACACTGGACTCGTGTCCCCACCCCCTCCTTTGGTGACAAGACTCAGGCCCTGCTCTCTGAGCCACCGAGGCCAGGGTGGGAGGTGGGGACATTCCCCTCTCCGTTCCCAGCCTGTGTCCTCTTCCGTACAGTCCTGCTCCAACATGGGGACCTACTACTCGCAGGCCAGCGACTGCAAATGTCATTCTCTCTGGCAGGACCTCTCCACTGAGCCATGGGTCCTGGCCTGCCCACACGATGACAGCTCAAAAGTAAAACCACATTGCCCCAACACACTCTCTCCCAGAGAACGGAACTGCAGATATAGGACGCCTAAGACCCAGGGGGACAGGGGGAGGGGCTCCCCCTGTCTCAGCGGGTTAAACTACCACTGTGACACCAGAATTCTATATAGGAGCACCAGTTCGAGTCCCAGCTGCTCTGTTTCCGGTTTAACTACCTGCTAATATGTCCTTGGAGGTGGCAAATGGAGACCTGGATGGAATTCCTGGCTCCTGGCTTTACCTTGGCCAAGCCCTGGCTACTGTGGTCATTCGGGGGATGGATCATCTCTCTCTCTGTATTGCTCTGCTTTTCAAAACACAAATAATGTTAATTTAAAAAACTGTAATGCCAAATCAGCTGCTTATTAGCTTCCAATAATTCAACACAAATTTCAGCGCTTTGATTTTTACCAAGAGTTTGCCAGCAGAAATCAGGGTGTTGGGTACCTCCTGTGAGCTGGCACCACCCAAGCTAACCACATAAATTACGTCATCTTCCCCCAATCTGTGACTTGGGGATGGTGACTGCCCTGAGTCAACTGACAACTGATCAGAAAGAGAGAAAATCTTTTTCTGTCACTTCCATCAGCATGTCATTTCCCAAGTGGCTGCCACCAGAAGCCAGGAGCTCCATCCTGGTCTCCCATGAGGCTGACAGAGGCCATCTTCTGCTGCTTTTCCCAGGGGCCCTGGATGGGAAGTAGACTGGTCAGGGCTCAAACTGGACTATGGTATGACGTGGTGAGAAGGAGAGACAGAGCAAGATCTTCCATTTGTTGGTTCACCCCTCCAAATGCCTGCAGTGGCTGAAGCTGAGCCAATAGGAAGCCAGGAGTGTCCTCTGAGTCTCCCAGGTGGGTTCTGGGTCCCAAGGCTTTGCGTCACCCTCCGCTGCTTTCCCAGGCCACAAGCAGGAAGCTGGATGGGAAATGGAGCAGCCAGGACACAAAGCAGTAACCAACGGGATGCTGGTGCCGGGCAGTGAAGGATTAGCTGACTGAGCCATGGCACTGGCTGGGAGATGGTGGCAACACCAGGCTTGAAACACACACATTGTGTAAGAATCTGATGGTGCTGGTTATTGTTACCGCTGGTTTGCAAACGACAGCTAAGGGAACTCTGTCCAGGTCTTCCACCTTGTGGGTGGCAGAGCCTCCCCCGACCATCTGCTGCCACCTCCCAGGATGGGTTCTGCCAGTCAGCTGGAGCCGGAGACCAGAATCCAGACACAAGAGGGGGGGTAGGTCTCCCCACGGAGGCCACCCCCGAGGGCCGTCGGAGCACCCAGGCACCCACTCCACACACTCGGTTCCAGGCTCTCTCCTCCCGAGCCCTCCGGGTCCCCGCGCCTAGGCTCCCCTCCACCACGCACGCCCTGAGTCACAGCAGCCACTTCCCAGCCAGTTTTGGGATCCCCATACCCCTGTGTGGGGCCGACATCACTAAATCCTGAATGAATGCGGGTAGGGAGACGGTGCCTTGATGCCAAGACCCAAGGGCCCAGAAAATGAACTTGAGACAGCTATGTGGGTGAAAAATGGCCGGTATACACCTGCAAGGATAAAAGGAGCGACCGCCACAGTCGTCACCTACCCGAAGGTTTCTTCTCCACCATTTGCGCCGTACAGCTGCCGGAAGTGTCGACTACACAGGCGCACTAGGCCGCCGGCTTGGTTAAGGGAGACATCACTTCCGGTGGCGGGTGCTCCCGCGCGTGCGCACAGCCACCCGCTCGCACTCGAATTCATTACGTGGTGTTTCCTTGGAGACAGGAAAGCTTTCCGCCATGTTTAATAGGGGAAAAGCTACTTCCGACCTCGGGGTGCTCTGTGCAAATTTTGTGAAGAAAGGGGCCCGAAATGGGTCATTTAAAAGTGGTGATGCTGGCGGTTTCTGGAGAAATGTTGTTTTGCACTGATCCTTCTGCAGATGCCGTCCATACAAAAGCAGTCCTCGGAACATCTCCCCGAGAGAGGAGCGTGGGTGGGCAGGGCTGCCGAAGAAAGGGGGCAGCCCTGAGAGGGGGTGGGCCATCGGAGGGAAGCCAAGGGGGGCTTCTGCGAAAGCTGAACCCCCAGTGCCCGAAGCCGCAGCTCGGCGCAGGGTCCTCGGCCGGCCCACTCCGCCTCCGCGCCCCGTCTTCCGGCCGGTAGCAGCTCCGGGGCCCCATCGGGGCGAGGACTCGGTCCCGCGGCCCGCTGGACGCTCGGCGAGGGGTCACTCCTGCGTGCGAGGCCCAGCGTCCCGCGTGCGCCCCGGGTCGTGGGCCGGGCCGATCCAGCCCGCCCCGGGGTCCCCGCTGGCCTCACCCACGGCTCATGCGCCCGCGCCTCCCGGGACAATCCTCGCCTTGTCCGCCGTGCCCGCGTCTGGACTTTTCTACGGCCTCGGGTTACGTCTTCTTTCCAGGGCGGAGCCCCGGCCTAGGCGCCTCCTCTCCCCGCTGCGCAGCTGCAGCCCGGGTGGCCGGCTCCAGAGCCCTTCCCGGGACGTGGAACCCAGGCACAACGCTGCCCAGCCCCGCGTGAACGAACCCACGCCCCGGCATGGCCGCGTCCGGCCCGGACCCCCGTTTCCTGCTGCTCCTGCTGTTGTCGCTGCTGCCGCCCGCTGCTTCAGCCTCCGACCGGCCGCGGAGCGGCAAACCCGTCAACCCAGGTGGGGAGCTGGCAGTGCCCGGGCTCGGCGCTGGAAGGGCAGAGTGAGGGTGTTCAGCCTCTGTCCAAGAAGGTTGAATGGTGCCGGGACCCCTTCGATGACTCCTCACCCTGAGCGAGCAGGCGGTTTCTGGCCTTGCTTCCCCACCCTGCTCCCTTTGGAGTCCAAGGCGGCGCAAAGAGGAAGGGGCAGCAATGGGGCCTCCTGCAGGGGTGGGAAGGTGAAACGAGTGGGTGCATGGGTGCGTCCTAAGTGCCAAATCCCTGCCGTGACAGAGAAACTGCTGGTGATCACTGTGGCCACCGCTGAGACAGAGGGCTACCGGCGCTTCCTGCGGTCCGCGGAGTTCTTCAACTACACTGTGCGGGTGAGGATGCGCGCAGCCCCCTCAGGGGACTCTGGAGAGAGTGGAGGCGTCCTTAGAGGAACCTGTGGCCAAGAGCTACTGGGGAGGGGCAGACTGGGCCTGGCAGGCGGCTGAGTCCTTCCCCACTTCCCACTCCCAGACCCTGGGCCTGGGACAGGAGTGGCGTGGGGGTGATGTGGCTCGTACGGTGGGCGGAGGACAGAAGGTGCGGTGGCTGAAAAAGGAAATGGAGAAGTACGCAAAGCGAGAGGACATGGTCATCATGTTCGTGGACAGGTAACGGGGGAGACAGGAGGAGGCTGGGGTTCTGGGGCAGGGTGGAGGCTCCTGCTAGTCGCCCACACACATGCCCATCCTGGTACAGCTACGATGTGATCCTGGCCGGCAGCCCCTCAGAGCTGCTGAAGAAGTTCGTGCAGAGCGGCAGCCAGCTTCTGTTCTCTGCCGAGAGCTTCTGCTGGCCTGAGTGGGGGCTGGCGGAGCAGTACCCCGAGGTGGGCAGCGGGAAGCGATTCCTCAACTCTGGTGGTGAGTGGGCCTGGGGCAGGTGGCTGTGAGCTGGAGATGGGGCCGGCCAGGGCTGTGTGTGTGTGAGGGGGGTTGGTGCTGGGAGTCTTGGGGGTCATGTCTCCTCCTCTCGACCCCCAAACCCCCAGGGTTCATCGGCTTCGCCCCAACCATTCACCAAATCGTGCGGCAGTGGAAGTACAAGGACGATGATGATGACCAGTTGTTCTACACCCGCCTCTACCTGGACCCTGGACTGCGGGTATGAAGGGCAGGGGGGTTGGCGGGGGTGAGAGCTCGGGCTGGGGCTGGGGCTGGAAGGACCCTCCCTTCAATGAACTTCAATTCCCTCCAGGAAAAACTCAAGCTGAATCTGGACCACAAATCCCGCATCTTCCAGAACCTCAATGGGGCTTTGGGTGAGGAGGGGAGGCGATGGGTGAGGGTGGGCGAGGGAACTGGGGCAGCCACAGGCATTCCCTGAGGCCTCCCTGGGACTTTGCTTCTGCCATCTTACCCCAGCCTGGGCTTCTACCAGGAGAAGTCCCTGGTCACCCATGGGTACAGGAATCTAAGTAGAGAGAAGACTTCTCCAGGGCCACATTTTGGGACCAGTATAGCCGGGACACTCCAGGCACCATACTTGATCTCCGAGAGAAGTGGACTTCTTGTCCAGAGGATTTCTGTTGCAAGGCAACACCTCCCACCCTAAGAAAAGGGGTTCTAAAGCCTGGCTTTCCCTCTCCCGGTGCAGATGAAGTGGTGTTGAAGTTCGACCGGAACCGTGTGCGCATCCGCAACGTGGCCTATGATACGCTCCCCGTGGTAGTCCACGGCAACGGCCCTACCAAGGTACCGCCCTGACTCCCCACCAAGGACCCTCATCTTCCTGAGCAGCCCTAGCAGCAGCCACGCAGGGGAACCCCTCTCTGCTTCAGCCATTCCCTATCTTCCCCCAACAGCTCCCGCTGAACTACCTGGGAAACTACGTCCCCAAGGGCTGGACGCCTGAGGGAGGCTGTGGGTTCTGTGCCCAGGACCGGAGGCCACTCCCTGGGGGCCAGGTAGGAGGAGGGTGTGCCTGGTGGGGCAGGGAGAAGGTAGTGGGGAGCTGACCCCTAGGTGGGTGTGATGGAACTGGGGTGGTACTGGCTTGGGTCCCCAACTCCCAACTCTTCCTGGCATCATCTCTTGCAGTCTCCCCCCCGGGTGCTACTGGCCGTGTTCGTGGAGCAGCCCACCCCATTCCTGCCCCGCTTCCTACAGCGCCTACTCCTTCTGGACTATCCCCCAGAGAGAGTCACCCTGTTTCTGCACAACAACGTGAGGCCACGCCCCTGGCTCGCCTCTCCCCACATGACCATGCCCCTGGCCCCCTGGCCCCCCACCTACTTACTCAGTGTGCGTGCCCTGACCCCAACCCCAGGAGGTGTACCATGAGCCCCATGTGGCGGATGCCTGGCCACAGCTGCAGGACCACTTCGCAGCCGTGAAGCTGGTGGGGCCGGAGGAGGCCCTGAGCCCTGGCGAAGCCAGGGATATGGCCATGTGAGTGAGCGCTGGAGGGCAGGAAGGCAGCCCGCAGCTCTTGCTCTCCCTGACCATAGGGCTCACCTGGCTTTGGACTTGTCTTCCTCAGGGACAACTGCCGACAGGACCCCGAGTGCGACTTTTACTTCAGCCTGGACGCTGATGTTGTCCTCACCAACCCACAGACCCTGCGCATCCTCATTGAAGAGAACAGGTATCTGCCCTGCCCAGCTCAGAGAGTGCCCATGGTCCCTGGCATCCATCCTCTCGCTTCCTGGGGGCCTCTGCCCACCCCTGGCATCACCCTGTACCCTGGGGGACTCTGCCCACCCTCACTCTCTGCACTTGATCTGCAGGAAGGTGATTGCACCCATGCTGTCCCGCCATGGCAAACTCTGGTCCAACTTCTGGGGAGCCCTGAGCCCTGACGAGTACTATGCCCGCTCCGAGGACTACGTAGAGCTGGTCCAGCGCAAGCGTGTGTGAGTCCCACTGGGCCTCTGCTGCTCCCATTTGACCAGATGCAGGCGAGGTGGCCAGGTCACTCGTGCCATCTTGCGTGTGAGTGTATGTGTGTGTGTGTGTATGTGTGTGTGTGTGTGTAGGAGTGGCTAGGGGAGAGCAGATGCTTGTGACCTGCAATGCCATGCCCAGATGTGAGGGTCAGGAACTGGGAGGGTAGAATCTGGGGGTTGATACCCCACACCCCGTGTCTGGGTCTCCAGGGGCGTGTGGAACGTGCCCTACATATCCCAGGCCTATGTGATCCGTGGGGAGACCCTCAGGACAGAGTTGCCCCAGAAGGAGGTGTTCTCAGGCAGTGACACTGACCCGGACATGGCGTTCTGTAAGAGCCTGCGTGACAAGGTGAGATCCCCCATATAGGGTTCTGCTGCTGAGAGCAGCCTCCTGGTGCTATGGCCATCATCCTTCTCACATCCTATTCATCTTCTTCCCTGCCCCCAGGGCATCTTCCTGCACCTGAGCAATCAGCAGGAGTTTGGCCGCCTCATGTCCACTTCCCGTTACGACACTGAGCACCTGCACCCTGACCTCTGGCAGATCTTCGACAACCCCGTGGTGAGTTGGGGGGGGTCCTGTGTTTAGGGAAAGGCATGTCCCACCCCTTCCACCAAGGAGGATGCTGGTGCTGCGTGGCTGGGGAGTCTGGGGACAGGGTGTACTTCATGGTCACTCCAACCCCCCCAGGACTGGAGGGAGCAGTACATCCATGAGAACTACAGCCGGGCCCTGGAAGGGAAGGGATTGGTGGAACAGGTGAGTCTAACTGCTCAGGTAATGGCTGAGCAGAGGGTACTACAGCCTCCCACTGCAGTGTTGGCCAGGGTGCTGCCTCTGCTCTCTCTGGGTGCATGGGTTTCTGGGTAATGTTAGAATTGTGTAAAGAGGTGAATGTCATTGTGGCTGAGGGGAACCACTGTCTCAGAGCTTGGGGCTCCTACACCCTCCCACCATCCATGCTGTGCCTGCTCCCACCTTCCTCTGCATCAGCCTCCCCTCCCCTTCCCCAGCCTCTTCTCTTCTCTCTGGCTCTGTCCCAGCTCTGTTCCTTCTTGCACCCTCTCACCCCATCCTCAGCCATGCCCGGATGTGTACTGGTTCCCGCTGCTGTCAGAGCAGATGTGCGATGAATTGGTGGAAGAAATGGAGCACTATGGCCAGTGGTCAGGGGGCCGGCATGAGGTAAGGGGCCTGGGGGAAGACTGTTAGCTACCAGGACTGTCAGGAGGAGGAGGGGATGCTGAGTTGTGTCAGGAGCAACGGAATTGGGATGGGGCACAGAGAAGGGGATGCAAGGGGAAGGGAGTCTTGCTGCATCCATACATTTGTCCACTCATCCATGCATCTACTCTTCCATCCGTCCATCCATCCATCCATCCATCCAGTCATCTACTCATCCACCCATCCATCCATCCATCTTCATCCATCCATCTTCATCCATCCATCCATCTGTCCACCCATCCATCACCCATCCATCCTTCTGTCCATCTGTTATCCATCCATTCATGCATCTACTCATCTATCTATCCATTCATCCATCTTCATCCATCCATTCATCTGTTTTCATCCACCCATCCATCACCCATCCATCCTTCTGTCCATCTATTATCCATCCATTCATACATCGACCCATCCATCCATCCATCCATATATTCATTAATTCATGAAAACTTTATGGGGCCATTGTCTGGAACCTGCAGTGCCGTGAAGAATTGTGCAGGGTGGGCTCTCCCCTACTGCTTGTAGCAGCAACTGCCCAGCTTCCAGAGAGAAGGTGTGCGGCCCAGGAGCCACAGCATCTGCACTGTACAGACCTTAGCCTAGTGTTGGAGGGACAAGGTGATTTCATGGGAGAGGTGGCATCTTGGTTGGGATCTTATGGGCCAGGGGCCAAGAAAAAGAGAAGTGTGTTCCAGGCATAGAGAGCAAAGGTGTTAAAACTTGGGCGCAAAAGGCAGGAGGAGGCTGGTGCTGCCACCTGGCGGGGAGCCTGGCTCAGTGGATCAGGGATGTGTGTGTGTGTGTGTGTGTGTAAGTGTAAGAGGATTGGCTCAGTGCCCACTGCCTACACCACAGGACTCAAGGCTGGCCGGAGGCTACGAGAATGTGCCCACCGTGGACATCCACATGAAGCAAGTGGGCTACGAGGACCAGTGGCTCCAGCTGCTGAGAACGTATGTGGGGCCCATGACTGAGAGCCTGTTCCCTGGCTACCACACCAAGGTAGGCTGCTGTACCTGCTATTACTGCATGATTTGGGTCCCAGGAGTGATATAGGGGCTCGCTGGTGAGGACGGTTAAGTGGAGAGCATCCAAACTGGGTCCCAGGACCCCCATTAATGTTTGGCTCCAGGATAAGTTAGCAGGGAGGTGCTGCTGGGCCACCTCCCCAGAGAGGAACTGTCCTCTCCTTAGTGGTTCCATCTGCCCTGGGCCTTCTAGCTGCCCTTCAGCCTCTGCTCTGTGGCTCCCTGCAGACCCGGGCAGTCATGAACTTCGTGGTTCGCTACCGGCCAGATGAACAGCCCTCCCTGCGGCCACATCACGACTCCTCCACTTTTACCCTCAATGTCGCCCTTAACCACAAGGGCCTGGACTATGAGGTAAGTCCCCTCATTCTGAGCTCTCACACACACCCCTGGGGACCCTGCTAGCACCTTCACTGCCCCCACCCTGGCTCAAGGACCCTGCAGGTGTCATCTCCCAGGTCCTTTCTGCTTTGGGTGCCTCTGCCCCAGAATGTCCTTGTCCCTTGTGCCTGGCTGTGCTCTGTGCTCAGCCCCCTCTTCTGTTCCCTTTTCTCTCTCCCTAGGGTGGTGGCTGCCGCTTCCTGCGTTATGACTGTGTGATTGCAGCCCCGCGGAAGGGCTGGGGGCTCCTGCACCCTGGTCGTCTCACGCACTACCATGAGGGACTGCCCACAACGCGGGGCACCCGCTACATCATGGTGTCCTTCGTCGACCCCTGACACTCAGCCATTTTGCCAAGCCCTCCATCACCATTGTGCCTTCTCAGGGTGGCCCCGTCCCCCCACCCCCAGAAAAGGGGGACATAAGTCAGCCTCCTGGCTGCCTCAGCGAGTGGGTGCTGTGCAGTGCTGAGATCCACCGACTGACCGACTGCAGACACGGCCCCCTCCTCAGGAACCTCCTGGGGGCCCTCTGTCCTGCCTGCAGCCCACAAGGGTTTGTGGGGAAAGGAGCTCCTGGGGGCAGGCCCTGGGTGATAAATTATTAAGACTGCTCCCTCCCAGTAAACGAGGATTTGTAGCTCTCGGGTCTGTGGGTTGTCTGTCTTCCCCTACCCCACTCCCTACCCTCCCCAAGGGTAGGGGAGGGGAGACCTGCCTGACCACAGCACAGTGGGGAAGAGCGAAAAGGAGAGGTGGCGGCCCATCGGGTGCCGGGACCCAGCATTTTCCCTGTGCCCTGTCTCCCACCACCCTTGACCACTGATGCCAGGAGCACAGCGGATGGAGGACCACAGCAAAGGACAGGCTGCCCCTGCAGGTTCAGGTGGAGGCCCCAGCTTTGCACACTCCTCACCACCTTGCCAAGGGAGGGCCCAGCAGCCGGGGAACACTGGTGGTGCCAGAGGTTCCAACCCTTGGACATGCACATACTCTCTGGACCAACACTTGTACCAGGGTCATCCCTGGAGAGCTTCCTGGCAGAGGGGAAGTGAAGCAGCCGGGCAGAGGAGGAGAGACTTGGAGAGAACAGCCTCTGGGAGACCCTTAAGCTCTTGCCAAGCCTCCCAGGCTCCCTGGGGACTGCATGATGACATTCCGGTTCCCTACCGGAGACCTTTCCAAGGTTAACTACACTTGTCCAGCTGTCCCAGGACATGATTTATTTTCACCTCTGTCCCCTTCCCCTTCCGCCTGGGTCTCCCTTGTCAGATGGTGGTCGGGCGGCGGGGTTGATCATCTAGTCGTGTTAGCCTTCCTCGAGCGTCATGCATCATCCTGGACAGATGTTTCCCTACATGCTCAACCGCTCTCAGGCCAGGCCTTGAGCAGGGGCTGGAGAAAGTACCTCTTGGCAAGGTCTCTGGATGGGGGCAGAAAGGGTGTGCCCTGCACAGCCTGGGCTGGGGAAGCTGGCTTGCATCAGTTCCTACAGACCTCCTTCCTTCACCTACAGTGCTAGGTACCACATTGGGGGTCACAGCCACACACCCAGTAGCATCTTCCCAATGCTTCCTGCTCACAGGTGACCTGAGAGAATCACCCTGGTGACCGAGGCACCTGCTGGGGTGTCAGGCTTTGCTGAAGGAATGCCTCCCTTGACCTGGAGAGTCCCATCCCCATCACCTTGGACCTCCCTTGGAGCTGCAGCATCTTGGGCCTGGTCTGGATGCCTTGCCCATCACAGCCTGCCTCCCAGCCCCCAGAAAGCCTGAATGCCCTCAGGGAACCATCCCCCCATGCAGGTGCTGGGCCTCAGAGCCACTTCTGGGCAGCTTTGCCTGTGTGGACCTTGGCCCTACCCGAGGTGGCCTGGAGCTCTACTAGCCCAGGTTCCTGCTGAGTCCCGAGGTCCCACCTTGCCCTCTTCCCCAACAAAGGTCAAATCTCCAACCCTGGGCAAGCCCTTGGTCATTTCAAGGGCTCCTGTGGGTCATAGCGCCCTGAGCTCAGGTGGTCACCCCCACTTCCTTGATCGACCTCCCAAGTAGGGCAGTAAAAGTACTGGACACGTGGGTGGGACCAGGACTGGTGGATTGGGCCAGAAGGAGAGAGTGCTCAATGCTGTAGGTGCCCAAGTGCTTAACCCCTCCCCAGGCTAGTGGCTCCGGCAGCCCCCTCTGAAGGTGAGTCTCTCAGTGGGTCTTTTTCTTGGGACTCAGTGAGTCCCCAGAGGCCTGAGCTATAGATGCACCATTTCCCCATCACCACAAGGAGGAAGGTTGGGAATCCAAGGCCCTTGCCACTGTTGTGGAAGGGAAGGGGATGAAGGCAAATGGGCTCAAGGAAGGGGGCAGAGGGGCCATGGGGGCTACACTGTCCCCTCTAGCCCAGGTGGCCCTGAGAGCTTTGGTCTTCAACTCTGGCCAGGCTAGGATCCTCAGGGGTACCCCTCGTGGTCTGGTTCCCTGGAGACAAGGGCACCCAGGGCAGGAGGCCCTGCCTGGTGTGACCATCAAACAGGCTGGAGATATTTCTGGGATGGCTTCCTATCTCACGGAGGGTGCTGGGTAGGATGAAGCTTTGAAGGAGACTGGGGACTCCTCTAGTGTCAGATCAATGGGGCAGACACTCTGCCCGTCACCTCCCAACGGAGTCGTGTTGGGTGGGGCCTCCCAGAGAGTCCTGCAGGTGCATCTGCTTGGTTGGCTCTGTGCCATCCCCGCCAGGGTAAGCCAGCGCTATCTGCTGTCCAGGCCAGAGGGCGGGCAGGTGCTAACTTGGCTGTGGGTGGGCCCCCCTGGAGGCAAGACCTGGGGCACCCAGCAAGACTTGGCCCTGAAATGGGGGTGAGGGTGGCCAGGGCAGGTGCACTCAATCTGCGCAGTGGGTAGAGTGCTCAATTCCATGGACTAGGGCTCAGCTGTACCACTGTCCACCACACTCCAGTTGAGGGGAGGTTCTCTTGCTCAGGTCTTTTTGTTCAGGAAGAACACAAACTTCCTGGCAGTTCACCAATGCAACAGGCTCCTGGTTATGTCACGCGTGCAGGAAGCCTGGCCCTGTCACAGTTTCATGGACGCCTGGGGCCCCCACTGTTTTCCCATGCATTGGCACAAGCCAGTCAAATGCCTCACCTGTCCTGGTTGGGCTGGATCTTGTGGCTCAGCTGGAGCTTTGCTGGCCCTACAGCCAGTGTGTGGGCCATGAACTCTGTCACTGTTCTCAGCGACCGCTGTTGACACCTGCATTGATGGCTGTGACACTGGAGCCTGGGGCCAGGCAGGGCACAGGCAAGGCACTCCAGGCAGTTGTTGCAGGAACACAAAGCATGCGTCACTTAGAGGCACCTCCCACCATCTGGTCCCAACCGCCGCCCTCGGTGCATGTGGGTGAGCTTAGAGGTGTCAAGAGACCTGTTTTATGTGTCTATGTGCTCAGTGGGAGTTGTGCGTGGATACGACACTCCCTGGGGACCCACTCCAAAGAGGTGGACACTCAAGGACCTGCCCAGCCCAGTCCCAGTTGGGCTCCTTGCATCTGCCTGCACTCCTGGCCAGCTGCTATCCCTGGGCTCAAACACCCAGGGGCTGCCCTCCCCTACATATCCCATCCTCTTCCATCCCCTCTCAGGAACCAACCTAGGCCTACTCACCTGGGATGGTGAATGATCAGAGGAGCCTGGAGACAACTGGGGATCCAGACCTAGACAGCTTGACAACTACACGTTGCATGCTGGCACAGAGAACCCTACTTGATCCCTGAAGGCCAAGGGAACTACATTGATGAACGTCTCTACTGCACCTCTGCCCTCCTGCCCCCACCAAGACCCTGCAGAAGCAGTGGGCGCCTTCTGGTGCTGACTTAGGTGATGGGAGCAGGGAGGCAGAGGTGCCATGGGCGAAGGGACTGCAGGGAGGAAAGCTGTGCTGCTGGCATAGATGGCTGGTGAAGGTGGAGGATTTCCCCAGGAAGGTGTCCCATGCAGGTGTCAGGGAAGGAGGTGGTTGGATAGAGGGACTGTGGTTGTCAGAGGAACTCCTTTTTGCTTCCTACCTTTCACCCAGTCTGTTGCACTTCTGTTCTGCTCTTTCTTCACGCGGTATTGGTCTCTCACTGTTTTCTACCTGATGTGGCTTTACCTGGACTGGGGCACCCCCAGCCAAGGTGAGCTCAGGCAGGGCTCCAGGTGGGGAGACATAGGGAGACTGTCTTGGGGATTCTGCCACCCAGTCTCTGCCAGCAGGGCGAAATGGTTTGAGTGCATAAGGCACAGGGTGGTTTGGAAACAACGAAGGGCTTATCTTCATATCAGGGTGATGGGTCATGTTCCTCAAAGATGCCTCCTCTCTTTCTCCTCCCTCACCTGCACCTGTTCCCTCTCCCCTGTCCTGCAGCCTGAGCCCTGCTGCCCAAGAACACAGAAGAGCAGGGGATGGAGGGCTGGACCCTCAGCCCGTCCCAGAACCCTGAGCTCTGAGGTCTGCTGGGGCACAGGACAGCACCTCCAGCAGTGACCTGTCCTCTGTGCCTCCCTCCTCTTCTCCTGCCCAACTGTGCCAAGCTGGTGAAGATAGCAGAGCTTCCCTCTGCCCTTAACTACGTGCTGGGATCCCACCCCCACAGAATCATGCACATGGAAATCTGTAATTTCATCTCTGAATGCAGTGATTTCTCAAGCACTTCCTGGTCTGTAACCCTGAGTGGCTACACTGGCTGGTACCATCTCTGTCCGGTCACCTAGGACTGTATCCTGGCTGGGGGTGAGCCCCACAGTGAGCAGGGGAAGCAGCTCCTGGCCAGGGAGTTCCCCACCAGTGCCAGACAGTGCCCTTTTCCAATTGACAATGCTGGGACCTATCCTGAATGCTGTTGGGGTTTGGAAGGGATCAGATGTGGGGTTCCACCTTCCTATAGCCTAATGTTTTGTGAGAAACCAGGTAGCCAGGGAGGTCTGAGGGACTTCTTACACAGTCATGCTCAGCAGCTGTCAGCCTAGATTTCTCCTGGGTAAGATCAGCAAAGGAAGATGGTGTGAACTGGCCTCAGGGTGCCAAGGGCGGCCCTGTCTCAGACTGCATCTTGCATTCCAGAGTCAGGAGAGTGTCCAGGTGCAGGAGAGGAAGTGGCCGTGGGTGGCCTGGACAGCAGCAACCTCTGGCACAGGTATATCTCCCTCCCTTACAGTGGGCGAACTGCCCTGCTCCTCCCAGGGACCAGCCCACACTAACAGATCTAGGATCGGTTCAAGATCCGTCTCAGAGGAGCCTGGAGACACTGGGGCTCCAGACTCAGGCAGCTCACCAGCCACACACTGGACACCTGAGACCCTGTCTGAGTCTTGCAGGCCAAGGGAGCTGCTGGGATGGACGTCCCCACAGCACCTCCACCCTCCCGCGCCACCAAGACCCTGCAGAAACGACGGCTGGAAGCACTGGGTGCCCTCCACTATGTGCTGGCTTTCTGGTTACTGGGTGAGAAGAGGGGAGGCTGGGTTGCTACATGGGAAAGGATGGGAGGAGGATGCCTAGACTGCTGACCTGGAATCTTAGGTCAAGGGAGGGGGATGTCCCTGCTTGGATGTTCCTGCACGTGGGGAAAGGCACATGGCTGGGATGAAAAT